AGAGGTTTTCTGTAATGAAGCAAACTTTACTTTGTTCCCCAAATCCATAATGTTACTGAGCTTCTGAGTATCTTAATTTACCTGTCCCTTCCCATTCCCCAGGAGCCCTGGAGGTGTGGTGAGCTTTGCATTGGGTTGTTAACCACAAGATCAACAGTTCAAATCCACCAGCCACTCCACAGAAAGACGAGGCTGTCTGGGAAAAACATGAGGTTACATGCTCCTGTATAGATTAAGCCTTAGAAACCCTAGTTCTATTTTGTCCCATAGGGTTTCAATGAGATAGAACTCAGTGTGCTTTGGCTTGGTACCATCCCCCAAATCCCAAATCTCCCACCACCAGCTACACACAAAAATAAGACTGGTTAATAAAAAAAAAATTTTTTTTTCACTCCAGCCCTGACCATAGGAAAAAAAAATTGTGTGTGCGTGCAGGGGGTGGGGGACAGGGGTGCATAAAACCTTAAGGACAAAGAAAAAGGAGACAGCAAAAAATTTCGGAAGCATATGAAAAAATATGAATAAATGATAACTAAGACTTTAGGAAAAAATCAATCTTTCAGTTATGAGAATGAGATTACACCAAACTCTCCCAAAGGTTTAGTAACTGGCAGTTCAGATACCTCTATAAAGGAGCGGGTAAATGGAACTAAAGAATGTTAGGTTGGAAGTCTATGAGACGGTCAAACTCCCAGATCCTCTCTGTATTGTTAGACATTTACCGAAGTCGAAGAGGGAAAATTTAGTCTCTTGAAGAGATTAAGACAGAGTGGTCTTTAGACTGAATAGACAGGCATACAGTGATGAAAATAAAGAAACGAAGTACTTAAAGATTTCTCAGGCTTCTTCCCCAATTGGGATGCCACACTAACATCCAAGTTGTTTTTGTTTTAACTTTTCAAGCAGTAGACTTCTCTGATTAGGCTGACCAGTGCAAAAGGAAAAAAAAAACCTAAGGATCTCAAGAGTTCAAAATGAGAGCCAGATCACCTAACAGCTGAACCTCACTGACAAACCCCTTCCAGTCTCCCACATATTCACATCTCCCATCAGCTTTAAAATGCTCTATGAACCAATCACAAACGTTTTTAGAAAATCTGTACTATGAAGCCAGATATCAAACCAATAGGAGAAAAGCTTCTGGAGAGAACAATTTTTCAAGTTATATACATAACTTTTAAGTTATATACATTCAAAAATTTTCTGGAAAAATTCCATTTGTCCATGAATTTTTGAAATTCCTTTGTATAGTTTAATAACCAGAGATGAGAAAAAGACAATAATATACCCATGTGAAGGACAGGTTTGCTATTTATAACTAGATTAGGGGTAGGGGACAACTAGAAATTAAGATTACTACAACTTAAAACATTTTTAAAAGTTAATTAAGCAAAAGAGGCATACCGGGGAGAAAAAACAGGGAAAAAAGGATGTCCAGGACTCATACCCAAATAACAATTCCAGAGAACCAAAAGATTGGTATGGTTAAGAGGGGACCAGAAGAGGAGGGAATCATTCACTCCCCAGAATTGAAGAGCAAGTTTACAGAATGACAAGAACTGCTGAGTACCCAACACGATATGGGTTATGAAATAAACCCAAGACAAGTCATAAAATTTAACACTGGTAATAGAAAAATTCTAAAGATTTCAGGGTACAAAGATTTCCTGAGACCAGAACTAGAATAGCATCAAATTAAGTGTTTGAATGTTGGCAAATGCCATCAAGTCAGTTCCAACTCATAGCAGTCCTGTATAGGGTTTCCAAGGAGTGGCTGCTGAGTTTCAACTGCTGACCTCTCAGTCCAGTGCTTACCCTATAGTCTGCCATACCAGTATTTGGATAGCAAGCTAGAATTTTGTAATTAACCAAACTAATGCAGTTAGAGGATAGATAGTAGACTCCTTAGTATATTCTGTACCCAGAACCCCAGAAATGAGGTTTCAGAAAATAAAAGATCTTGCTTGCAAGGCTAAAAATGTCTCAACAGTTACTCAAAAATCCTAAACGGCAATTAGTTAAAACTATGAGGCTGATAATTACCAAACTGATTTTTATGGAAAAATTTCAAGTCTGTTAAAGACTGAAAATTGGTACAATAAACAGAAATGGAACTGAGAATGTAACTAGGTATATGAGAGCAAATACCATAAAAATGGGCAGTTATTTTTCCTCAACTCTAGTGCAAGTATAACTTTATTCATAAAGTCAGGAGTAAAAATTAATCGTCTCAAAATTTAGACATTGTTAATTATCTGTAGTTAGCCTCAACTCATGATGCAATGGGGCTGTTGTAACTAGTTCTCATTGGTTGATTTTTTGTTAGATTACCAAGCCTATCTTAGAAAACAGATAATTACTGGGGACCAAAAAAATTAAATCAAGTACGTTAGTACTTCTTCATGCTACTATTCAGTCAGTCAAATTCTGATAGGGTAACATCTTAACACTATAACAAAATCTAATTAAATCTGGTAGCTTTGCATCATCTTGTTGCTAGTGTCATTTGTGCCGGTCGGTTCCAACTCAGAGCATCCCTGGATAAGGGTTACTAAACAGCTATTTTGAATTTGAACTGCCAACTTTAAGGTCAAATCGACCTTGTAAACAGTGCTAATGCATTAGCCACTAACAAACCCCATTTAAATGTTTCAGATGTGGGACTAGTAAGCATGTCAACACCTAACTACTTATAGTACAGATAGTCATACACAATAGGTTTCTTCTAAAAATCTGTGGGAAATTTTCATTTTCATTTTCCCAGGAACTTTCTGAAGCCCATCTGTATATAACTAAATGAGTATAAGTGACCTGATACTTTTCAACAGGCTATGGGGTCCTAGTCAGATGTCTAGCATTAACAATTGAGCTTATTTAAAGAACACCAATGTTTGCTCAGTAAGGTGCTTGCCTACTTTAAGGTCACATTGATAGGCATAATTCAACTCAAAAGACACAAAATTAATCACTTTACTCACTATAAAATCAGACAATTTCTCATCTTAACAATAGAATTCTTCTATTCTCAGCAGTCTGACAGGAAGAACTGACTAAACAAGGGTGAATATGTATTCACATTCACTTGAATAGTAATGATCAAAGGACTTTCCAAGTTGAATGTTATCAATTCCCTGACTGTT